CCCGCCCCTCAGGGGTCCCGGGTGAATTCTCATTAACTCGCAAGACTCCTGCAACAACAGTTCCTCTTCTCTGGAGGCCACCCTGACTGCTTTTATTCTTTTTATTTCCTCCTTTTGTGTCTATATTAAAATGTTCAGATAAATCCGTTGTCCTGAGTCCTTGAATTTCCCCCCAATAAATATTACACCAATAGAGCTCAGAGAGTACACGTGGGCTAGAAGACACAATATCTAATAATCTAATCCAAGTGTGTGGGGAGTCACTTTGAACTTCCTGAATTGGGTATTTATCTGCAGGCCTTTTAAGAATGTAGTACCTTAAATACATAAATATTTGGAACAAGCAGTTGAACAGAAGAATCTCTTGCATCACCTCAGGGTGGTGTAGCTCACAAGAATAGTGCTGTTAAAAGTTTTCCTTGTGGCATCAGAGATAGAGAATAATTCCAAGCGGGGAGATCTAGATTTTATTGTATGTGGTTTCATGGTTCCTATAAGATTCTGGAAGTAGAGTTAGTCCTAGGGTGGCCATTCATTCAAGAGTACGCTGTGGTTCTGTAAAATTTACTTTCTCTTATGGTTATCACTTAACTCACAGTTTCCGAATTCTTTTGGTTGCCTTTTGTCTGAAAAGTCATCCCATCTCCTCTAAGTCTTAGCCAAGTACTTTCAGACCCATGAAGCCTGCCTTCCTTGGCTACTCACGTTAAAACAATGTCTTTAAACTCCTCTGCATACTGCCTTTCAAACATTTGAACCTTGTCTCATAGTGAGACATGCACTTTAATTGACATACAGCACATAAGCACATTTGTCCTCCAAAAATGTTATGAAAATATTTGATTACATGCAATACACAGAGATTTGCCATTTGCTCCCATTTATTATTACTCTGATGTAAAGTGTGGCCCCAACCCAATACATTTATTTTATGATTCAACAAAAGATGACTGGCAACCAACAGTTTTTAAGACATTGTTTTAGATTATAAAGAGTATATCCCCATTGTACTATATTTATAATTTCATTAGTCAAATAGCATCTTGAATGGAAGACCCCTGAGAGTTTTGTTGTTTTTTTCCCGTTACTGTAGCCCAATGAAAAATGCATATAGTAAGTGCTTTGTAAATATATTTTGGGTTAGTTAATATAGTAAAGAGAGAGAAAGAGTTAGAGAAGAAGCAGGTAGGCACAATCCTTGGCCATCCCTTTTGACCTTTGCTGGGTAGTGTTTGGATAAAGTTGGTTGTTACGGCCAAAGGTGATCCTGAGTGGAGGGGTGGGGGGTGAAAGGATTGAGAAAAGACAGACAAGAGAATTAAAGCTGGGTCTCAGTGGGACGCTGCTCCCTGATGAGGAGACAGAGCCAGCGCCCACAAGCCGTGTCTTTATTTTATAGCAGATGCCACGAGGCAACGTAGGGCGTGATCAAGTTGTTTACAGCATTCTCGTGAGTTTCAACCCCACTCAACTACATGCACCTGAACTCTATCACAAGGCACGTGGGGAAACGTGTTCGGACCATAGGTTCAAGCTTACAACCACAGCTGTTGGCTATGATTGTGCTGGGAGAGCCCTGCCCTCCAGCTGGGACTTGCACGTGGCAATGAGAGGACCCTGTCCTTTCATTAGTCCAAGGCTTGAACCTGGCCTAAACACTGTAGCCACGCCCCACAGTTGGTCTTAAGAAAATACCCGGCCTTACCACATACACAAGTTCATTAGATTTATGACTATACTTGATACTCTAATGCACAGAAATTAGAGCACTTTAGACATAAG